AACTTGTTGACTGAGGTTTCTGTCCCACCCGGTCCTTCAGTTGTTCAGTCCCAAAGAGAACACACACAGGTCTATATTATTATAAACTGATTGGCCTATTATCTCAGACTTCTTATTAACTTTTTTTAAAAATATTTATTTATTTATTATGTATACAATATTCTGTCTGTATGTATGTCTGCAGGCCAGAAGAGGGCACCAGACCTCATTCCAGATGGTTGTGAGCCACCATGTGGTTGCCGGGAATTGAATTCAGGACCTTTGGAAGAGCAGGCAATGCTCTTAACCACTGAGCCATCTCTCCAGCCCCTTCTTATTAACTCTTATAACTTATATTAGCCCATAATTCTTGTCTGTGTTAGCCACGTGGTTTGGTACCTTTTTTGGCGAGGCAGTCACATCTTGCTTGCTCTGTGTCTGGCTTCCTCTGTGGCTGGGTGACAACTGCAGACTGAAACTTTCCTCTTCCCATAATTCTCGTTGCCACCCTCTACTTCCTGCCTGGTTACTGGCCAATCAGCGTTTTATTAAAAGTAATATAAGTGATAGGATAAAAGACTACTGTCCCACAGCATGAATTAGATGGCTAGTCTGAGGCTAGGCGGGGCTTCATGAGACCCCGTCTCAAAAACCAAAGCCTGGGAATCTGAGTACAGAGAAAGGCTTTTTGTAGAGAGAAATCAACCAGCTTTCTGAACTTCCAAAGCTACTTGGGAAAGTTATAGCTATTTCTGTAAAAGGAGAAACATGACATGTAAGTGCCTAAGGCACAGAAATATACAGAAGCCAAGTCACAGGGGTGGGAAGGTAACAGTGTGGTGTGTGGGCATGTGTGGGGTAGGTTTCTCTGAGAACAACCCCTTTTTCATGGCTGTTACCATGTAGCTTCTGTCTTTACGTTTTTAAAAGCCCTTTACATAAAGTGATCAAGTCTTGACAATATATTCTTAGATATTGGGTCTCCATCATTTCTGAGTACAAATCCTAAACAAAACAAGAAAGCAAGCCAGACCTGACAGTGTACACCTGTACTCCTCAGTGAGTTTCAGGCTGGTCTGGACTACATATACAGACTCTGTCTTAACAAGCACCACAGACAAAAAACCAATCAATCAATCAAACAAACAAACAAAAAAACAAAGGAGCAAAGGCAAGTAAATCATTTGTAGGCATAAGGCCGCATTGTAAAGTAGGATTTACACAGTATTAAACTTAACCTTAAAGCAGTACTTACCAAGCCCTCAAGAAGCAAGGTACGAGAGAGAACAGATGAAAAACAGAAAATTAACTTTTTGTTCAACTTCTTAAAAAGCAATCCCCTTTCTTTAGCTTTATTGAACATGACAGCAAGTCTCAGGACACTCTTTCGATCCTTTCTGAGTCTTCCTGCTTTTTATCTGAGCCCATTCTTTCTCAGCTCAGTAACTAGGTCTCCGCAGAACACTTTCCCTGACTGTCTCCAGGCAGAACAGTCAACTCTTCTCTGTTCTGTGTACACTTACTCATCACAGTATTTGTTTAGGACCTGCTTCTACTAATCTGTGAACTCCTGATGGGCAAAGGCCTTGACTTCCAACCCCAACACACCTAGAACTGTGCCCTGTATGAGGTGAATTCTCAGTACGTATTTCCTTTCTTTCTTAAAAAAATGTTTTTTAAATTTTTTATGTTTATGGATATTTTGCCCACATGTATGTCTGTGAACCATGTGAGTGCCTGGTATCCATAGAGGCCAGAGGAGGGAGTCTAATCCTTTGAAATAGAATTTATAGACAGTTGTGGGCTGCCACGTTGATGCTGGGAATCAAACCTGGGTTCTCTGCAAGAGCAGTCAGTGCTCCTAACTGCTGAGCCATCTCTCCAGCCCTCAGTACATATTTCTTATATGTTTTTGGAGTAAATTAGATACACAGTAACAAATTCCTAATAATGAACTCTGGCTGGAGGATGTAATCTAATTAGCCAAATAAGAAAGAAATGAAGAAATAGTCCATCTTTGTCATCCCTTTGTGAAGTCAAGGAAGAAAGAAACCAGCTATAAACCTGATTTGTTTCCATGACTACATCTGCCAAAGTCTGTCACTTGCTGTTGTAGTTACAGCAATTCGCTGGAGCTGAGCAAACAAATTTAACAGAGAGAACAAGAAGTTCTGGGGTAATGCAGGAAACAATGGATTTAACTTCCAGTATAAACTGAGATAAAGTTTAAGGTAATTTGGAGAGGCTTGGGATATAGCTACGTAGGTGGAGCGCCTGCCTAACATGCACTAGATGCTGGGTTCAGAGCCAAGCACTGGATAACTTGGTATGGTCCCCATGCCTGTAATCTTAGTATTCAGAAGGTGGAGGCAGAAGGATGATAAATTCAAGGTAAGGAACACTGAGCCAGATGCCCTGTGTTTAATTTCCAGATCTCACATTCCAAGGAGAGAGAGCTAACCCTTGCAAGTTGTCCTCAGACCTGCACACAGGGCTGTTACACCAGCACTGTGCTCCTGCACACACACACGGGCTGTTACACTAGCACTGTGCTCCTGCACACACACACACACACACACACACCACTCACATATATTTAAAACAAAATACCCCAAGATTATTCTATAGCAAGTTCAAAGACAGCTTTAACTAGAGACCCTGCCTTAAAAAAAGAAATCCAGGCCAGTAGTGGTGCATGTCTTAATCCCAGTACTTGGGAGGTAGAGTCAGACAGATCTCTGAGTTTGAGGGTAGCCTGGTCTACAGAGCAAGTTCTAGAACAGTCAGGGCTACACAGAGAAACCTTGTCTCGAAAAACAAAACAAAATATCGTGTCTGCACAAAACCTCTCATGTTGTTCACTACTGAACTGGGCCTGGCTACAAGCAATTCTATCTATTCTAACTTTCTTTTTTCCCAGACAGGGTTTCTCTGTGTAGCTTTGGTGACTGTCCTGGAACTCATTTTGTAGACCAAGGTGGCCTTGAACTCCTAACTTTGTAAGTCCGGTGACTTAAGAGCTGACTGCTCTTTGGGCACGGAGATGTGAGTATGAGAAGGAAGGGGCTGGAAACAGTTCAGATTAACAAGTCAATGCCAGCTACCGATAAGTTTTCCTGGCAAAAGCCACTTTCAGCGAGAAGAAAGCCATGTGTTGACTGTAATCTGCAGACTATGAAGGAGAAAGGCAGCTTGTCGCCACACTCCTAGCTTCCAGAGGTGCTAAGTTTGTAAGGAACCTTCCCTTGTTTTGGTTTACAGAACTTCATTGCTTCTTCAGTGTACTGAAGAATGCACTTGTCAGCCAGAGGCTCCATTCAGAGAACCCCAGATGGGCGGGCAGTTTGAAGACCTTGCTAGGAATTCCTTTTAATCAGGTGTGTTTCCTTCCAGTTCCAAGAGAAGGTGTCTATTTACCAAACCTCTCACTGAACTAGGACAGCATAAATAATACAGTCTACGGACGTGCCAAAAAAGCACGGGGGGGGGCGTTAAATTTAAATTTCCATGGGTTCCAATTCACTTCCCTTTCACTTGCCACTTCTCCGTTCCCCATGCCCATCTATCAGCAAGTGCACAGGCTGGAGATAAATCTTTTTTTAAAAAATATTTATCTATTATGTATACAATATTCTGTCTGTGTGTATGCCTGCACGCCAGAAGAGGGCACCAGACCCCATTACAGATGGTTGTGAGCCACCATGTGGTTGCTGGGAATTGAACTCAGGACCTTTGTAAGAACAGGCAATGCTCTTAACCTCTGAGCCATCTCTCCAGCCCTGGAGATAAATCTTATGGTAGAGCGTGTATCACAACACTCAAGTTAAGTACCTTAAGGCGTGGGCAAGGTAGACGGAGGCAGCACTGCTCCCCATTACCCACTCCTTTTCAATGCTCGCCGTGTATCTTTCTGCATCTTCCTGTCTCCAGCGTCTGTTTCTTGCATTCACGTACTTATAATCCAGCCAGCTTGCTCGCTCCTCACCCCTTCTGCCTCGGTCTGCATCTGCATCACCACCCACATATGCCCTGCCTGCCCCATCCCCGGTCGGACCCAGCCCCAGGCGCTCACCTGGTCCTCGCCCCGCACTCGTGGCCGGTCCCCCGGAAGCCCATCGCCTTCGTCGTCGCCGCCGCAGGGGTCTTCCAGCCCCTCGTAACCCAGGACGTGAGGACAGCCGCGGAAGGCGAAGTCTTCGAGCTCCCGCAGGAGACGCTGCTGCTCCGCCGGCGCCCCGCGCACTACCTGGCGCAGGCGGAACTGCACCTGCGCGAAGTGCGAGGACAGCGCGAGCAGGGCCGAGTCCAGCTGCCGCCGCTCGGCTTGCAGTCGCCGCAGCGTGCGGACGGTCGCGTCGGGGGGAGAGCCCGGAGCCGCTCCAGGCTCCTCGGCTGCCGTCACCTCCGAGAAGGCGGCTGCCCCAGGCCCGGCCTCGGCCACCGCCCCCACTGGGGCCCAGCGCACTGCCTCGCTTGGTGGCAGCGACTCCTCCTCCTCCTCTTCCTCTTCTGCATCCTTAGCCTTTGGCTCGAAAGCCGTCACCCCAGTTGCCTGCTCCGTAGCCACTTCCACGGCCGCCATCTTCCCGGAAACGCCGCCGCACGTCAGTCGTGCACCCTTGCTGCCATGACAACGGGCGCTGGCAGGGAAGCCTGGAGGGGCGGTGGGCGGGGCCTGCACGCCTCCCGTCTCCCGAGGGCCCGCCCTCTGGAAACTTCTTTAGTGAATTTTGTGAATTGGATACACGAGTACTTTGCATTGGAGAAACAAATTAAGGAGGCCGAGGACAAGCGATTTCCCGCATATAAGGTCTAGGTAGCCCTTTCCCTGGCCAGAGAGGGAAAATATATCCCTGATCCGTATATTTCTGGAGACCCCGAGAGGAGAAGGGATGCAGTAAACGCTCCCAGAGTTCCTCTGGAGTGCAGATCACTTTTGCTGTCAAGCTACCTTTCCCTTCCTCTCAACCCTTACCCCTGCCATATAAGGAGAAGCAGCTGCTAGGGGCGTCCCTAGGATCTAAAGATAGAGGCCCTTGTGCCTGGGACTCCAAAACCCACAGGGCAGCTGGAGTCACTATGGAACGGTGAGTTTCAGGCCGCCATCGTACAGATCCCTTGCCCCTCTCCCTGCAGATTCCCTGCCCCGCGTCTTGTAGAAGCTGCTGATTCTGCCCGGATCCACCTGAGCACTGGACTCCAGGTCTCTGAGGCTGTGGGTGAGAGCGGTGGTGTGCCCTGATTGTACCTCCCAACTCCTTCCTTCCCTTGTCTTTCCCCGTTCATTCTCACCACCCACCCACTCCACCCACTCCCCTCCATCTGGTTCAGTGGCACCACATTCGACTCTGTTGTCTCCTCCTCCGCCTCTCCTTATTGCCTTCAGACTTTTCCAAGCCCCACCTCCGCTCTCCTCAGGCAGCCCGCCCGGACCCTGTGGTATGACAGACCCAAATATGTTTTCATGGAGTTTTGTGTTGAGGACAGCACCGACGTGAATGTGCTCATTGAGGACCACCGCATTGTGTTCAGGTAGTGGCCTTCTCTGGAAGGGCCTAGTGTCCCGACTGTCCCCTCCTTCTTCCTACGCCTCAGCTTTACCGTCTCTTTAGCTGCAGGAACGGTGATGGAGTGGAGCTGTACAATGAGATCGAGTTCTATGCCAAGGTGAACTCCAAGGTGAGGGCAGGGTGACGACAGTCAGGCCTGGACAGACAGGGCATCCAAGCAAGGAAACTGGGGGTTTATCCTAAAACCACCTCTAATAACGAGGCTGTCTGTCTGACAGGACTCTCAGGATAAGCGCTCTGGTCGCTCTATCACTTGCTTTGTGAGGAAATGGAAGGAGAAGGTGGCCTGGCCACGGCTCACCAAGGAGGATATCAAGGTGAGTGTGTGGGGAGTGGTCTGCTCCTTCTGTGCCCCTTGTCTGTGAGCTCCCTCTGGGTACCGAGGCACCAGACTCACATCTGGATTTGGGTTTGCCTTCCTTCAAGTCAGTATTCTGTGAGTCACCTGGGCCCTGTATATTTCATCTCCCAAATATTCTGAGATTTATATCCTTCCAGTCTAGACTACGTCCATCAGAGTTCATTGGGGGAAGTTTTTTTTTTTCTTTTTTTTTTTTCCTCTTTGTGTTTGTGTTTTTGAGACAGGCTCTATCTGTGTACCTAAGGCTGGCCCTGAACTTGCCATCCTTCTGTCTCAGCATCCGGAATGTTGACGTTACGGGTATGGACTTTTTTGCCTGACTTTGTTGGGAGTCCGCTGCATATTTTCTGTCCCATCTTTAACCCACCCTTTCCTTTGTTCCCAGGGTGGTCTGTTAAACTTGCATTGACTTTGTCTGTCTCGCACTTGAGACTCTCCACACTCCAGCAACCTCTCTTCCGAAAGCTCAAAGTTGGCCACCTGCTGGCCGAATCTGGCTTTTACATTTATTTTAGTAGTTTCTTCACAGTTAAAAAATAAAAGTTATTTTGAGCCTGGTGGTGGCAGCACACACCTTTAGTCCCAGTACTCAGGAGGTAGAAGCAGGTGGATCTCTGTGAGTTCAAGGCCAGCCTGGTCTACTGAGATACGGGAGGGGGGGGAGATCCAGGATAGCCAGAGCTACACAGAAGAACCCTGTCTCGAGAAACAATAGCAACAACAACAACAACAAAATATTTTGAGGGGCTGGATAAGTGGTTTAGCGTTTAAGAGCACTGACTGCTGTAGGAGAACCTGAGTTCTCCTACATGGTGGCTTACACCATTTGTAAATCCAGTTCCAGGGGAGTCAATACTTCTGACTTTCATGGGCACATGGTACACATACATACATGCAGAGAAAACATTCATACACAAAACAAATAAGTCTTAAAAATATTTTGATTGGCTACTGACATTCACAATTTTTTTTTTTTTTGAGACAGGGTTTCTCTGTAGCTTTGGAGCCTGTCTTGAAACTAGCTCTTGTAGACCAGGCTGGTCTCAAACTCACAGAGATCCGCCTGCCTCTGCCTCCTGAGTGCTGGGATTAAAAGCATGCACCACCACCGCCTGGCTTTTTTTTCCTTCTTCTAGACAGGGTTTCTCTTTGTAACTTTGGATCCTGTCCTGGATACATGCACAATTTTTGACTGTTTGCTGACATTAAGAAATGTAGATTATGGGGGCTGGAAAGATGGCTCAGCAGACAGCTGTGCTTGCTCCTGAGTCTGGTGTCCTAAGGATCTGAGTTTGAGTCCCAGGTACCACATGGTGGAAGGAGAGAACCAACTCTCAAAAGTGTTACATCCATTTGTGTGTAGTGACATGCCCTTCCCTGTAAATAAATCATAAATAAATACATAAATGTGATTTTAACACTTTTATTGTAAGTCATGGGACTGGAGAGATGGTTTAGTTTTTAAGCTACTCGTCCAGAGGACCCAGGCTCAATTTCCAGCTCATGGTATCTCAGAATAGAATTGTTTGTAACTCTAGGTCCAGAAGATTTAACACCCTTTTTGGCCTCCGCGGGCACCAGGCAGGAGCTTGGTGCACAGACATCGAGTCAGACAAAAAATGGCTAGGTGTGGTGGTACAAACCTTTAATCCCTACACGAGGATGAGGCTGAGGCTGGTGGAGCTCTGTGAGTTTGAGGCCACGCTGGTTTACAAAGCAGTTCTAGGCCTTGAACACGAACAAACATCAACAAAACAAAACAACAAAACACCCCAACCCCCGATGCAGACTATTAGTTAAAGATGTGTTACATTTGTTTATGCTGTGGAATATTTGTTTAATGATGCAAAGATGGGTTGCATTCTTTATGTTGCATTTGTTTAACCCTGAGAAGCTGTGATACTTTGCCTGCCTAAAACACCTGATTGGTCTAATAAAGAACTGTATGGCTAGTAGCTAGGCAGGAGAAAGAATAGGTAGGGCTGGCAGGCAGAAAGAATAAATAGGAGAAGAACGTGAAACGGAGGATGCCAAGGGCCAGCCACCCAGCAAGACATGAAATAAGAAGGAAAGAAAAATATACAGAAATAGAGAAAGGAAAAATCTCAGAGGCAAAAGGTAGACAGGATAATTTGTCTATGTATGAATATTCAATTTTCTCTTGAGACAGGGACTCATGTAGCTTAGGCCGATCTTTATTTTGCTATATAGCTAAGGATGATCTTGAACCCCTGGTTCTCTAGGCTTCACCTAAAATATACCGGCATGATTGGTTACAGCATTATACCTGGCTTTAAATGTGGGCACTTTGGACTATGGTCCTCACTATTTATAGTCACATTTTTCTTTGAGAAGTCAGCCCACAAACAATGACATACTTATTATTAATTATAAAAACTAAAACAATAAAAACTGAAGAGATATCTCAGAGGTTAAGAGCACTGGCTGCTCTTCCAGAGGGCCTGAGTTCAATTCCCATGGTAGCTCACAACCATCTGTAATGAAGTCTGGTGCCCTCTTCTGGCCTGCAGGCATACATGCAGACAGAAAACTATATACATAATAAATAAATAAATCTAAACAAACAAAAAAAAAACTGGAGAGGTGGCTTAGCAGTTAAGAGCACTGGCTGCTCTTCCAGAGGTCCTGAGTTCAATTCCCAGCAACCACATAATGGTTCAAAACCGTCTGTAATGAAATCTGGTGCCCTCTTCTGGCCTGCAGGCAGACATATAGGCAGAACACTGCATACTTAATTAACAAACAGACAAATAAATAAATCTTTTTTAAAAATTAATTATGAAAGCTAGACCTTAGCTTAGGCTTGTCCCACTAGCTCTTATAACTTAAATTAACCCGTTTACTTTAAATTATGTTCTGTCACATGGTTCATTACCTCATCTCTAGGCAATGCCCAAGCTGCTTCTTCCAAGGCTGACCAGTGACTCTGCTTTCTTTTTCCCAGAGTCCTCTCTTTTGGCCATTGAGCTTTTTATTACACCAACCACAGCAATACATTTTCCCACAGTGTACAAATACCCTGCAACAAAGGGCTGCCTCTGATTCTAGGGAATGCAGCTTATCTGTCTTGCTTGGTTGAGTTCTAGGATGTTGCGTTGCCTGCCAATCAGCCCTTGGAGCATAGAACTCTGCTTTTTCAGACCTTGCTGTTCTTGGCTGTGTTTGGCACTAAGTAGATTCATGTTCGCTTGCTTCTGTCCTTCCTGTCTGTGACACCTACGCTTCCTCTTGCAGCCAGTGTGGCTCTCTGTGGACTTTGATAACTGGAGAGACTGGGAAGGAGATGACGAGGTGGAACTGGCTCAGGTGGAGCATTACGCAGAGGTAGGAGGCACCACTCCCTGCTGCCCCTCTCAATCTTTCGTTCTGTGTCTGTCTACAGGCAGTCAGCTGGGGAAATCATCAGGGCCGGGCGGGGCTACTGAAACTCCCTAAGCAGGCCAGTCCCTGGTGCTGATATGCTGTATATTTTATTTTTTGTTTATTTAGCAGAAATAAGAGCAATAAGTATTAGTGAAATTTAAAAGAGAAAAATTAAAGACTTATTACTTCATTTGTTTATTTTTGAGAAAGGGTCTTAACTATGTAGCTTTGGGTGGTTTCGAACTTGCTATATATAGACCAGTATGAATCTCACAGATATGCACTTGCCCCTACCTCCCGATTAAAGGTGTGTTCCACTATGCCCAGCGTTGTTGTTTGTATTTTTGTGTATGCATGTGTTAGATCACTTGAGGCTGGAGTTACAGGTGGTTGTGAATTGTTGACCCATGGGAGTTGGGAACAAAATTTGAATTGTCAGGAAGAGAAGCAGGTGCTCCTAGCTGTTGAGCTATCTTTTAAAAAAGGACTTAAACCAGACGGTGTGGTACACGCCTTTAATCCCAGCACTCAGGAGGCAGAGGCAGGCGGATCTCTGTTAGTTCGAGGCCAGCCTGGTCCACAAGAGCTAGTTCCAGGACTGGCGCACACCTTTAATTCCAGCACTTGAAAGGCAGAGGCAGGCGGATCTCTGTGAGTTTGAGGCCAGCCTGGTCTACATAGTGAGTTCCAGGACAGCCAGGACTGTTACACAGAGAAATCTTGTCTCGAAAAATAAAACAAACAAAAAACTTAATACATTTTCTTTGCTTATTTGGGAGGAGCCGGTGCACACATGTCATAGAACCCCTGTGGAGATCAGAAAACAACCTGTGGGAGTCTGTTTTCTATTTCTAATGTGTAGGTCACAGGGATTGAACTCATGTAATCAGGCGTGGCAGCAGGTGCCTATTGATACTGAGCCATCTTGCCTGCCCATATTAATAAAATTTCACACAACTTCACTTACTGTTTGCAGAGTAGTGCCTGCATTCTGTAAAAGGTTTTTGGTTGTGGGCCTAGCCTTTAAGGGCTGAGCCATCTCTTCAGCCCTAATAACTCTCTCTCTCTGTTTCTGTTTCTGTCTTTGTGTGTGTGTGTGTGTGTGTGTGTGTGTGTGTGTGTGTACGTGTGTTGAGACTGAAAGAATGTGCCACCACTGCCAGGCTATAATTCTTGTTCTCATCTATGATTCTTTGTGTTTTTCTTTCTTTTCCTAACCTAGAAAAGTTCATGGGAATCTAATACCAGTCAATATAAAATTCATACCATAAACCACTTCTTCCTGATAAACAACACCTGCCATGTGTGATTTAGTTTTAGAAGACCAGAAACTCCTTAGTTCAATTGTAAAAGGACTAACAGACCCCCCACTTAAATAGATAAGGAGGTGCTTTCTGAATATTTTTATTATTTTTTTTATTTTTTGATTGATTTATTTATTTATTTACAACATTCTGCCTCAATGTATGCCCACATGCCAGAGGAGGGCGCCATATCTCAGTACAGATGGTTGTGAGCCACCATGTGGTTGCTGGGAATTGAACTAAGGACCTTCACCAGTTCTCTTCACCTCTGAGCCATCTCTCCAGCCCCATATTTTTATTTTTTTATTGAAAAAAATTTCCTCCTCCTCCCAGCCTCCCATTCCTCCCCCTCCCCCCACTCCTCTCCCCCTCCTCCCTTCTCTCCCCCTCCCTCTCCAGTCTGAAGAGCAGTCAGGGTTCCCTGCCCTGTGGAAAGTCCAAGGTCCTCACCCCTCCATCCAGTTGAATATTTTTAAATAGACTTTTTTCTTTGTGAGACAGGCTCTCTCTCTCTCTCTCTCTCTCTCTCTCTCTCTCTCTCTCTCTGTCTCTCTCTCTCTCTCTCTTTGAGACTGGGTTTCTGTGTGTAACTGTGGCTGTCCTGTAATTCTTGTAGACCAGGCTGGTCTTGAACTCACAGAGATCTGCCTGCCTCTGCCTCAGGAGTACTGGGATTAAAAGTGTTCAATTCCACTATCCAGCAGGGTCAATTTATGTAACTGAAGCTGATCTTGAACTTTCAATCCTCCTTCCTCAGTCTATGAGTACTGGGATTATAGGCCTGTGATACCACACCCACTTTAAATCAATATTTTTAGTCATTTTCATCTTGGTTTGTTTGGTGTTTTGATTTTTAATTTATCATGTGTATGTATGTGTGCTCTAGTGAGTTTATGTGTCCCATGTGAATGTAGCTGCCAGAGAAGGCTAGAAAGCAGTAACTGCTTGATTTGGGTGCTGGGAACTGAACCTGGTTTCGAGCAGTACGTGCTCTTTAACCACTGAGCCATCTCTCCAGGCCCTGGCTGTTTTGATACAGGGTCTCAGGTAGCCCAGACTGGCCTTGAAAACTTCCTAGGTAGTGAACTGAGGCTGGCCTTGAACTCCTGATCTTCCTGCTTCCACTTGTTAAATTCTAGTATTTAACTTACTAGGGTACCCAAAATACCCAGCCTGAGATTAACTGTTGTCAGCTACCATGTGCGTGCTAGAAACCAAACTCAGGTCCTTTTCAGGAGGGAAGTGCTCTTAACTGTTGAACCATTTCTCCAGTCCCCACTTATTTGTTATGTCTACAGTGTTGGCACCAGACCTCATTACAGATGGCTGTGAGCCACCATGGGGTTGCTGGGAACTGAACTTAGGACCAGTGGAAGAACTGTCGGTGATCTTAACCTCTGAGCCATTTCTCCAGTTGCCCCACCACCACCACCATTAATGTTTAAGAAAGGGAATCATCTCAAAAGAAAGAAAGAAAGAAAGAAAGAAAGAAAGAAAGAAAGAAAGAAAGAAAGAAGAAAGAAAGAAGGAAGGAAAGAAAGAGGCATAGAAGAATATCAATAGACTTTTCTCCGATTAATGGCTGGATCTGGAGGCATTCTCCTGTCTCTACTAATATTCAGACTTCTTTTCTCTCATCTCTCACGACTGTGTCTCTCTTCCCATAGCTTTTGAACAAGGTCAGCACCAAGAGACCTCCCCCTGCCATGGATGATCTAGATGTGAGTAATGCCTTTCCTAGATCCTTTTGTTTCCTTTTAGCATTTACAAATGACACATTAGGGTTGGATACAGCTTAATGGAAGAGTGCTTTCCCACCATGCAGGAGGCCCACCCTCCAAAAAGGAATGGGTGTGAACAGCATCATTGATGGTTACCATAGCAATGACCGATGCTTTGTCTTCTCTTTTCAGGATGATTCTGATAGTGCGGATGCAGCAACTAATTAGGTTTCTGTGACAGCAGAACTGGGGAGGAGGCTGTAGCTACCTTCTGTCGTGTGGAAAGGCTATGGTGCGCCTTCATCAACTGTTTTGTTATGCATCAAGATCCACTGAGACCTCTGGACTTTTCCAGAAGCTTTTCTTCCTTCCTTCCTTCCTTCCTTCCTTCCTTCCTTCCTCCCTTCCTTCCTTTTCTTTTTTTCTTTTTTATTTTTGTTTGCCTTTCCCTCCATGGGTGTTATATGTGCCCTGCTGGACCTTCCTTCCTTCCTTCCTTTCTTTTTTTCTTTTGTTTTTGGAGACAGGGTTTCTCTGTGTAGCTTTGGAACCTGTCCTGGAACTCGCTCTGCAGACCAGGCTGCTGGCCTTGAACTCACAAAGATCTGTCTCCTCAGAAGCTCTTTGTTGTTGTTGTTTTTCGAGACAGGGTTTCTCTGTAGCTTTGAAGCCTATCCTGGAACTAGCTCTTGTAGAACAGGCTGGTCTCAGCAGAGTCCACAGAGATCCACCTGCCTCTGCCTTCTGAGTGCTGGAATTAAAGGCGTGCACCACCACCTGGCAGAAGCTTTCTTAAGGGTCCCTACTTATGCCACAGGTCTTCCTCCTGGTTGCTCCAGTGTGGTCTGCATTGGCTAGGAGGGAGGGTGAGGCGCTGGCTGTTGGGGTTTCTGACTCCCATTGATTTGCCTTAGAATCTATGCTTGGGATGCTGGGGTTGTTTGGACACACGTTTCTATGTGGTAAAGCAAAGGCCAAAAAAAGAGAGATTACAGTAAATTCTAGGAGTGTTGCTGTCTCCTTCCTTCTGGCACTTTCCCCTCACTCTGGGAAGCCTTGTCAGAGATTCTGGCCCCTTTTGCAGCGTGTATCCTAGTCAGGGGATTTCATCTCACCCAGATAGACAACCCAGTCAGCCCTTGACCCTTAGCTTCCTGTACAGCTCTGTGAGAGTGTGCAGTGTATGTTTCAGAGAACAAGAGTTTGGTTCTTAGCACCCATACCAGGGTTGTGAGGTGGTTCACAACCACCTGTAACTTAGTACACATACACATAAATAAAATATTTTTAAAAATCCACATTATCATAAATCACAGGTTTCTGAGGTTTGTGGGTTAATTTTTTTCCCTATAGTTAAAAAAAGTTACATGCTGAAATGTTATGGATGTTTGTTTTAATTAAAATATTAATATACACACCTTGTCTTATTTCCACCTTTCATGCGGCAGGGCCTCCGCAGTCCAAATTACACGGCCCCAAGACTGTCTGAAGAACGTCTCAGATCAAGTTGTAAATTTTGTTTTGTGGTCTTTCAGTCTTAAAACGTTGACAAAACAAGACAGAACACCTGTAGTTAGCAGTTTCAGTAAATTGGATCAAACCACACCCACTTCCTTTACGCTATCACGTTTGCGCAGAAACGCTTAAGAAAGTTTGTCCCGGGTCGCTCTCCGTCCTCCGCCCGGCTCTTCGGCGCGCGCTGGTCTCCAGGGCCTAGGAGTCCGCGATGGCGTTCCTGTGTCAGCGCGACAGCTACGCGCGGGAGGTGCGGCCTGGTGGGCGAGGGTCCTGAGACTGAGGGTGCCACCGGGAGGGAGGGGGAGGACCGGCTGCAATCTCGGCGTCCGCGGGCTCACCCTCGCCTCCCTCTCTGTTCCCAGTTCACCACCACCGTGGTCTCCTGCAGCCCCGCTGAGCTGCAGACGGACGCGAGCGGCGGCAAGAAAGAAGTGCTGAGCGGTTTCCAGGTGGTTCTGGAAGACACGCTGCTTTTCCCCGAGGGCGGGGGCCAGGTATACCAGGAGCAACCTCAGCCCGACCCGCTCCCGGGGACCTCCACATTCCTGTTTGCTCCTGCAGAAAATGCAGTCGCCCTTCCTTAGCCTCAGTAAATCAAACTGTTAGTTCGTTCAGCATTGTATATTATGCTTTATGTAGTCACGACACACGCAGTGTGTCATCTTCCAGGCGCTGAAGATAACGGGTGAACAAGTCAGTGCCTCCATATCCGTGGAGTGCTTATTGCAGACGACCCCGTAGGCCAGGTGTAAGTCAGAATAATGTCACCAGAAATAAAGCTGGGTCAAGGGAAAGAGAGTGGTGGGATGCTCTCCTCTGTGGAGAGCACTCTAGGCTTCTCGGTACAAGCAAGAGAAAGATTTCAGGCAGAATGTATAACTGTGCAAAGGCCCTGGGGTTGGGAATGAAGGCGAAGGGTTTCACAGGGACTGCGAAAGAGGCTGCCTGGAGTTCAGAAGAGGGGGGTGGCCTTCAGAGCCGACTTCTCCGTGCTCTGATGGAGAGCCTGGCTGCGGTGTCCAAGCAAAAATCGGCATGAGAAGAGAGGTTTCACTAGCGGGTTGACAGCGTAAGCAGGGTACTGAAGCCTGACAGACGAGCTAAATCTAACTGTAGATAAAAGAATGCCGTGGTGCACGTGGAGAAGGAGCTAGAGGCAGCTTTGGGAAGCTGAGTGGAGCTAGTTCAGAGGGCCCTGGGGGTGTACAAGGTTTATAGACTCCATTCGGGAAACCAGTGAGCCATGGAGGATCTGAAGCAGAGACATGGCTCAAGAGGATTCAATGGACTTGTGGGGGGAGCCCCAGTATTTTCTTTTTAAAATAAAGGAAAACATTTAGTTGAGGTGGCTTACATTTTCAGAGGTTTGGTCCGTTATCATCATGGTGGGCCATAGCACCTGCAGGCAGACATGGTGCTGGAGAAGTAGCCACTTGTAGCCACTTGTCCTACATTTTCTCTCACAGGCGACAGGAAGTGGTCACCCGGTTTTATTTTGTTTTGTTTATTTTTATTTTTATTTTTAAGATTTATTTATTTAGTTTACAGTGTTCTGTCTGCACATTTGCGTGCAGGCCAAAAGAGGGCACCAGATCTCATTACAGATGGTTGTGAACCACCATGTGGTTGCTGGGAATTGAACTCAGGACCTCTGGAAGAACAGTCAGTGCTCTTAACCTCTGAGCCATCTCTCCAGCCCCTGTTTTGTTTTTTGTTGTTGGTTTTTTTAATCAGTTCCTTATTTTCCCACTGGAGACATTCTGAACTGCTAAAGAAAAACCCTTGACCCTCAAATATCTATAGAATGTCTCTTCTTATTTTTTTTTTATTTCTTTCTTTTTATCACTTCTTGCCCAACACTATCCAAACAAAATAAAACTACAGGACTGAAATTAACAACCCATTAAAATTAGCAATAAGTTATGAAAATTATAAAGCTTTTTTTAAAAAAAGTAATTAAGGGTAGTTAAATTATTTAAAGAATACAAAGTCCAAACAGCTGGGGGTAAGGTCTCCAGAAAAGGCCCAGAGGGAAACTTCAGAGTTTGAAAAACAAAGGGAACACATGACATCAAAGTGCAGGCTAGAAAGTTCATCTCTTCTTATTTTTAAAACTGCACTTATGCAGTCAGGCACATTGCAAAAGTCACTTCAGATTGTGTTTTCTGTATTCTACTTCACAATTAGAAAAAAGTTATTTTGTTCCCATATCACTAACAATTTTTGTTGTTATAAGATTAAATGATGGGGGCTGGAGAGATGGCTCAGTGGTTAAGAGCATTGCCTGTTCTTCCAAAGGTCCTGAGTTCAATTCCCGGCAACCACATGGTGGCTCACAACCATCTGGAATGAGGTCTGGTGCCCTCTTCTGGCCTGCAGGCATACACACAGACAGAATATTGTATACATAATAAATAAATAAATATTTAAAAAAAAAGATTAAATGATGCAAAAATGAAAAGTTCAAACTGAAGCTGTTGGACCAAATTAAAAAAAAAAACCTACACTTAATTCATTTTATTTTTATTTATTTGTGTGTGTGTGTGTGTGTGTGTGTGTGTGTATGAGAGAGAGAGAAGGGGGGGGAGGAGAGGACTTGTGGGGGTAGGTTTTCTCCTACCTAGGTCCCAGGGATTGAACTCAGGTTTTTAGGCTTGGTAGCAAATGTCTTTAACCTCTGAGCCATCTTATCTGCCCTGAAACTTTCATATTACATACACATCACGTCCTTCAGGCTTCCCAGATCCCCCAAGACTAATAGTCAGGTCTCTTTAGATTTCGTTTCTGTGCTGTGATCTATGTGTCTTATTTAGTGGATATCATTTCCGTGGTGTGACCTATGTGTCTTATTCCCATCGTGTTATTTGGTGGCACAGTCTGTTGTGAACAGCTGGCACTTGATAGTTTCCTAAATGACGAATATCGTTGGATCTAATTGTGACGTCAGTGCTGAGTACATTGTCTCCTTGACCCCTGGAACACTCAGTGCCCGCCTCTCTGAGCGCTTCCCCTGAGAGTGTCTTTGCTTCGTGGTAGGGTGAGACCTGCCCTAGTGTTGATGACTTTCTCCCCCAGCCTGATGACCGTGGTACCATCAATGACATTTCTGTGCTGAGAGTGACCCGCCGCGGGGCCCAGGCTGATCATTTCACACAGACAGCTCTGTCCCCTGGGAGCCAGGTCCAGGTCCGGGTGGACTGGGAGCGGAGGTTTGATCACATGCAGCAGCATTCAGGTAAGGGCCACGGGCCGGGGCCGCACAGGGAGGAACCGCAGTGTCATGGTGACGGAGGTGGGGTTTCCGTTCTCCTACCTAGCATCAGCTTTGGTTCAGGCAGCAAACGGTAAGTGTGAAAACACCACGAACATTAAAGTCCTGGAAGAGCTATTCGCTTTTTCTCCTCCGTTTTAAAAATACGTTTTCTTTATCAGGGAGGGGATATGAACTTGTCACATTATGCCTGTAGCGGTCAGAGGACAACTTGTGGGAATTTCTTTCTTTCAACCGTATGGACCCTGGGGTTGATCTCAGGTTGTCCAGCATTGAGCCATCTTGCCAGCCCTTGCTTGTTTTTGGGGGGACAGTTTTCCTATGTGGCCTTAGCCTGAAATTCAATATGTAGATCAGGCTGACTGCCTGCCTCCTGAATACTGGATTACAGGCATGAGCCACCATGGCCACTCATTCCTGCTGGTTGGAATGTTCTCACTTGATGTCTCTGGCTGGATGTCTTGTAGGTTCTCAGATTCATAATGTCCCCAAATGAAATGGGAAGGCCGTTCTCTTCTCCTTGGGCTTACATGAATATAGTGTTGGGCATCAGCATTTCCGCGGTCATTCAAATCGATGCCCCTTTTGGAGACACTGAGCCAAGTCAGGTGTCTTGATTATCCTCAGGGATCTTTCTCCTTTTGTCCACGCAGTTGTCCTTGTCCTAGCCCTCGCCTTCCTCCCTGTGAACCTCTGGCTGATTTCCTCACCTCCAGTCTTGCTCCTTGCCCCTCTGTTTCCATACATCAGTCCAAACAGCCTTCCTTTCCTCACATTAAGGCTTAAATACAGGGCCGCATGCCATAAAGCAATCTTTTAACAGGGCCGCATGCCATAAAGCAATCTTTTATTTTCTTGCTGTACTGGAGATTGAACCCGGGGCCCTGCATGTGTTAGCCACACCCTCTGTCACAGTGCTATGTCCTGGGTCTCAGAACAGTACTTTAAAAGAAGAAAATCAGATCATCTCAGTCCCTTGTGGTTCTGTGTGGAAAGCCATTCTGTCAAGTGAATCAATTAGTGACACCCCAGCACTTCAGCTCAGATCCCACCTCTGAGGAGCTACTCTGCCTTGGCAAATTACTATGAAATAGCCCTTAAAGCTGCTGGGAGAATTCTCATGATGATCTACCCCCCCCCCCCTCAGGGCTAGGAATTGACTTAAGGTCATTCATTTGCTTAGGCAAGTACTCTGCCACTGAGCTACACCCCCAGCCCCTGTGATTTTCAGTCTAAAATGCCTGGCAGTCCTTCAGTGGGAATTCCTGAGCTGATGTCGTGGGGCTGTGTGGCTGGGCTTCTCAACTCGCTCCTGTCTCTTGCTCCTGCTCAGGACAGCATCTCATCACAGCAGTAGCTGACCATCTCTTTGGGCTGAAGACGACATCATGGTGAGTCCAAGGCACGCTTAGGATGGGATCGGTCCCTGGCTCCCACCTCTGCTCCCAGCGATGGGTCCGGATAGGTTGCCCGTCTTTTCTTCTTGAAGACCGAGGAGTCATGGGCAGACCTTGTGTTTCTCAGGAGAAACTTGAGATGTGAGCAGGGGCATCTGCCTGCTTGGGAAAGAACACAGAGTTCAGAGCCCAGAGCTAAGTGTGGTCCTGCTCCTTATGGTGCTGCATTTGCAAAATGGGAATGGCGCTCCCTACCTATGAGATTTTTTTGTGTGTGGATTCAATACAATTATTTATGGATTTTTTTTTTTTACTTTTTAAGATAGAGTCTTTCTATATCGCCCAGGATGGCTTTGTAGTTTGAGGTTGGCCTGGAGTTCACAGCAGTGAGTTTCCTGAGTACGAGATGATAGGTACCCCTGCTGTTCTAGGAACGTGAACTCGCTGGGTATTGGAAGGCGACCTTACAGTCCCGTCCTCCTCCCTCTGTGTCCTAAGCCCTAGGATTACAGGCTCAGTGTGAACATTCCTCACATACTTCAGCTTGCTGTGTCCCTGCTGCTTTTCCTGGCAGGGAATTAGGGAGACTCCGGAGTGTGATTGAGTTGGACAGCCCTTCTGTGACTGCAGAGCAGGTAGCTGCCATTGAGCAAAGTGTCAACCAGAAAATCAGAGATCGGCTTCCTGTGAGTGTGCGAGAGCTGAGCCTGGATGACCCTGAGGTGGAGCAGGTGAGACGGGAGGCAGGCACCAGTGTCCACAGAGTGGCTCTTCAAGGGCTCCTCATCAAATTTCAGACAGCCCTGTTCCCTCCCCCTGTTCTAGGTGAGGGGCCGGGGTCTCCCAGATGACCATGCTGGGCCCATTCGCGTTGTTACCATCGAGGGTGTCGATTCCAACATGTGCTGTGGGACCCACGTGAGCAATCTCAGTGACCTGCAGGTACGTGTGGAAGGGCTGTGGAGTGTGAGCCGGGTTGTTGGGGAGTAGGCTGGGAGTGTCAGGTGAGTCTGATCCACTGTGGTGGAGTCCTAAGAGCCACTGTGGTGTGGTGTGTGTCTGTGTGTTACCCCCCCCCCCCCTTTGTGCAGGTCATTAAGATTCTGGGCACTGAGAAAGGGAAAAAGAACAAAAGCAACCTGATATTTCTGGCTGGGCACCGGGTACTGAAGTGGATGGAGCTAAGTCATGGGAGAGAGAAAGCGCTGACCACACTGCTGAAGTAGGCCCTGTCCCCAGCCCCTGCTCCCCAGGCCTGTACACACACACACACCACCACCACCACCCCACCCGGAGCTTAGCATTTGCACCTGCCGGGTAAATGGGATAATCTACCTCTCTGAAGGGTGAGGTGCTTTGGACAGCAGCTCAGACCCACACACAATAGTTTATTCCTCGCTATCCTGTCTCTCAGTTGCTTAAGGGACCCTTTGAATGCTCCCGTCTTGAGGAAGGCACCCCAGCAAGGAGAGATTGTTGGTTGGTACCCCCCCCCCCCAACTCTGGAAGCACTGGACAGTGGGCCAGTCTCCATTAACTATTGTCTTATAGGTGTGGAGCCGAGGATCATGTGGAAGCAGTGAAGAAGCTCCAGAATGCCACCAAGCTCCTGCAGAAGGTGACTGTGGGGAGCGGAGAGGACCTGGGCTCCGCCAGGGAGAATCTGGACTCAGCCTTTAGCCTGGGCCAATGTGTGGATTATCAGGGGGTTTGAGGGCCGCACAGGAGGAGAGGGAATGGTGCCTCTGTTGTCTCTCACACCTTTCTGTGTTCTCACATCCATTTCAGAACAACCTGTGTCTCCTCAGAGACCTGGCTGTGCACACTGCCCACAGCCTCAGGAGCAGCCCAGACTGGGGAAGTGTGGTTACACTACACAGGTGAGAGAGGAGGGGCTGGAGACAGGCAGAGGGATGAGAGGGGCAGTGCACAGTGGGACGTGGGTTACTAAGCAGCGCACTAGGCTGAATAGACTGCAGGAGCTGTGTTACTGGACTTGCTGGATCTGACTTTGTCAGCTTCGTTAGCTTCTTTCCTGGCTTCCCTCACCATCTAACAGATCAGCCAGCATCTTGGAGATCCTTTGTGTGTAAACTGCTGAGGCTGAGGGCATCTTCTCTATGCTGATGGGTCTGGAACTTTGTGTGCTCAGATGGGAAGCAATGAGATCTGTCCGTTGTTGGCCTGGCTCCTTCTCTTGAGGTGGTGACACAGAGCTGCCTCATCCTGGGTCTCATATCTGTGTCTTTTGTTGTAGGAAAGAGGGTGATTCTGAGTTCATGAATATCATCGCCAATGAGATTGGGTCAGAGGTAAGAGGAATGAGAGAGCCCTCCTCTACTCTGCAGAGGCTCTGGGAGGTAGAACTGAGGGAGTCAGCTTAGCCTGAGTCCCTTCAGGTTAACACATGAAGAGCTGAAAAAATTTCACCCAGATTGTTTTTCCTAACACTAGCCATGACCCCAGCTCTGTTGTTAGGGAAGCTCGGAAGATTTAGATTTGTGTGCTGAGAGACCCTCAGAGGCCTCTGCCTCAGGCCTCAGGCCTCACTTGCCTTTCTTCATCCCTATGGTCTAGCACAGGTGATTGCTAGTTTTTTTTTTTTTTTTTTTTTCCCTTTTAAACCCTTTATGGAATGTCTCCCTGGGGCTAAAGTAATTCTGCTTTCTACACAGCACTGATTCTCAGAGAGCCATGTTCTAGCCTGAGAGACATGTGTCTGTCAGCATTTATAATTTGAAGTGATAAATGCTGGAGGCAGAACCCATTACCTAAAGGGAATGAGGCCTGCTTAGAGGTAATCGGGTAGCCAAGGAGCATAGTGGCTGGCAGATAGGGTGTCTGGTAGAGCAGAGATGGGAAGGGTGCTTGTGAGACCATGACAGTCAGCAGCCTGCTGCCTCCTCTTTGTGTTTAACCTCCTGACTGTTCTCATAAACTTTCTGGGCCAGAGTGAAGGAAGGCTATGCCATTGGCATCAGTGACGTCTCTGGTTTAGAGGGAGCTGCCTGTTCTGGACTCAGGAGAGTATGGGCCCTAGCGAGTTGACCCCGTGTGTGTTCACCTCCTTGTCTTACCTCCTAGGAGACCCTCTTGTTCTTAACTGTGGGGGATGAGAAAGGTGCTGGGCTCTTCTTATTGGCAGGGCCATCGGAGGCCGTGGAGACCCTGGGGCCCAGGTAATGTGGTACGGGCTCCTTTGCAGTGGGTGGGGAAGTTGTGTCCTTCTGACATATTGATGCGGTCATGTGCTAGGAAGCAAGGCATCACATCCGTGGTGGCCTTGGTTCACATAGGACGTGAGGCCAGCCAAGCAGGTGTGGGCTGACGCCAGCACTCCTCGTTTGATGCATTAGGGACCGTACATCCTGCATTTGAGGTCTTGTAGTTAAAGTGGCAGAATGAGAATCAACCACAGGGATTTTTTGTTTGTTTTAAAGAAAATTTTATCCCTAGAAGTAGGTGTTAATGTGACTCTTCCTGGAGAATTAGAAAACAACTGTCCCCTCACCCCAGACCAAAGTTTTACATGGTGAAACAAGGAGTTTTATTGGGGTTACTTACAGGAATATGGGTGAGGGGTTACTTACAGGAGCAGAAATGGCTCAAAGACAGCTGCATCACCAAAGCCCACCCCAGCATGGATGGCAGCCCACAAAACTGCCCACTTCTGTCTCCTGAGTGTGTACCACCATGCCTGGCTTATTTTCTTGTTTAATTACCTCCAGAGGTATATGACTCCTGTTCTTTTGAGCATTAAAGTTTTCAGTCATTATTGGTGATAAGTAATATGTGTTCCTTGGAAACATTGAAGGAAAACAGTTATTTATAATGGAGATTCCTAACAGGCACCATATGTGTCTGCCCTTTCCCTCCTTCCCTCCCTCCTTCTCCTTCCTCCTACTTTGTTTTTCTTCTTTTTTTTTTTTTGATTTTCGAGACAGGGTTTCTCTCTGTAGTTTTTGGTGCCTGTCCTGGAACTAGCTCTTGTAGACCAGGCTGGCCTCGAACTCACAGAGATCCGCCTGCCTCTGCCTCCTGAGTGCTGGGATTAAAGGAGTGCGCCACCACCGCCCGGCTGTTTTTCTTCTGTTTTTGGACAAGATTTTACCCTGCAGCCCAGGCTAGTTTCAAGCTCTTGATCCTCCTGTCTCCACCTCCCAAGTACGAATGAATACAATACATCAACAGTTTTGATTTTTGGATAGTCTCTGAAGCTGGCCTCAAACTTGCATCAGTCTCCTGCATCAGCCTTCTCTGATTCCTAGAAATTGCCCTGTCTCCTTCCTCTAGGCCCTAGGACTGCCCTTGATTTTTGACTTTTCACCAACCATCTCCTTAACTTTCTCTGTTCTCTAGGGTGGCTGAAGTCTTAGAAGGCAAAGGAGCAGGGAAGAAGGGCCGCTTCCAGGGCAAGGCCACCAAGATGAGCCGTCGGGCAGAGGTGCAGGCACTTCTGCAGGACTATGTCAGCTCACAGAGTGCTGAGGAGTGAGGGGCCAGGATGCCCGTCCCCGTGACCACAGCAGTCTTTTGGACAGTAAAAGAGTGTCACCCACAGTGATTGTGTACTGTTGTTTATGCATGGTGCATTCGAGAATGCTAATTCATTAACACCTCTGTGAACAGTTTCTAACTTGGCTCCTCTTAGGTATAATCCCATGAGTGGAGATTAAATTAATGATCTAGGCTCTGCTGAAAGCTTCTTGCTTGTATAGTTGCTTATGGCAACAAGGCTTGATACTATAAGACTTGACTCAGGCTGGAGAGATGGCTCAGAGGTTAAAAGCACTGGCTGTTCTTCCAGAGGTTCTAAGTTCAATACCCAGCAACCACTTGGTGGCTCACAGCCNCTCAGGCTGGAGAGATGGCTCAGAGGTTAAAAGCACTGGCTGTTCTTCCAGAGGTTCTAAGTTCAATACCCAGCAACCACTTGGTGGCTCACAGCCGTCTATAATGAGATCTGATGCCCTCTTCTGGCTTGCAGGCAGAATATTTTACACATAATAAATTAGTCTATAGCCGGGCGATGGTGGCGCACGCCTTTAATCCCAGCACTTGGGAGGCAGAGGCAGGCGGATCTCTGTGAGTTCGTGACCAGCCTGGTGCTACAGAGCTAGTTCCAGGACAGGCTCCAGAGCCACAGAGAAACCCTGTCTCGAAAAACCTAAATAAATAAATAAATAAATAAATAAGTCTATAAAAAAGAAAGAAAAACACTTGACCCAGGCCTCGCCTCATTCAAATCTCCTTGCTTTATTTTGTCTTTGTTTTTTGAGATAATCTTTCAACATCACCCAGGCTGGCCTTCTCACAATCCTAAATGCTGAGATTATGGACATAGACTTCGAGGTTTCAGGCCTGGGTTTTGTGTGTGTGTGCGCGAGCGCTCACACTTATATATGGAGACAACAGGAATTGAGCTCAAGGCACTGTTTACTTTTAATTTATTATAACAAGAGCTTCTCTACTGGTGCAAGAGTATCTCTACTGACCTGGAACTCAACAAGTAGGCTATGCTGGTCACTGAGTTCCAAGGAGTTTGTCTTTGCCTCTCCAGCACTGGGATTACAAACACACACCACTACACTATGCGTACCTAACATTTTTTTAAATATTTTTATTTATTTATTTATTTGGAGACAGAGTTTCTGCGTAGTCTTGACTGTCCTGGAACTCACTGTATAAACCAGGCTGCATCAAAGTCACAGAGGTACCTACAGTTTTTTTCTATGCAGAGTTTCTCTGTAGCTTTGGAGCCTGTCTGAAACTAGCTCTTTTGGACCAGGCTGGCCTTGAACTCACAGAGATCCACCTGTCTCTGCCTCCCGAGTTCTGGGATTAAAGGCGAGTGCCACCACCATCCAGCCCAATCTAACTTTTTAAGTACAGGTCCTAGGGATCAAGTCCTCAAGCCTGCAGAACAACTGCTTTGTCAACTGAGCTATTTCCCCAACCCTTCAGACTGTGTTTGTGCGAGTGCAGCTATACATGTGGGTTCTCTCTGTGTATACACATCCGGAAACTTTCAGAAGTCTCTTGTTTTTCCAATTTTACTGTTAACCCCATGCTCTCTGGCCCCATAGCTCCCGGGCAATTCCCCTTTCTGTCCCCCATCTCACCTGGGATTGTTGAGATCACAGATACATACTGCTACTGTGTCCTGCCTCTCTATATTTTTTCTTTATTTTTTTCAAGACAAAGTTTCCTGTGTAACAGCCCTAGCTGTCCTGGAACTCGCTCTGTTGAACAGGCTGGCCTATAATTTACAGTTATCTGCCTGCTTCTGCCTCCCAAATTCTGGGATTAAAGGCACGTGCCATCACCACTCAACCCTCTTTGCAATTTTGAAAACGTATATATTTTTTCTACGTGTGCGTACCAAGTGTGTGGAGGGTAGAGATCAATTTGGGTGAATTAGTTCTCTCTACCGCGTGTGTTCTGGGGCTTGAACTCAGGTTGACTCCATACCTTTCTTTACCTGCTGAGCCATATTGCCAACCCCACACCTGGCTTTGTATGTGGGTTTCGAGGATCAGATGACCAGATCTGAAATCCGGTTAGGCTTACACGGCAAGCATTTTTTTCACCTACTGAGCCAGCTCTCCAGCCCCATGGACCTCTTACAAGGGCACCAGTCACATGAGGGCTCTGCCCCCATCTCATAGTTATCTCCTAATGGCTGTAGCCCCCATACCATCACTGGGGAGCTAGGACGTGAGTTTTTAGGGGGCACAGCACTGAGACCAGAAAGGGTATAATAAGACAGTGGTGGACCGGGCAGCCGTCCTTGCTCAGCACCACGTGGCTGGACTCTGTTCACTTGGAGCATGAGTGGCCAGATGCTTTATTCAAACCTGGTTTCGCTTCCAAGCAAGAGAGAAACCCTCCTTGGGGGGCAACCCTGGCTTACTGCTGAGGCACTCCCTGTCCTTCAGTTTCTTGACCTGAACTTGGGGACATGAACACAGTGTCCTAAGAGGGAAAGAACTTTGTGAAATAACTCAGTAAGGAAGAGGCATAAACACTGGGGCAGATTACACGGGAAGAGTAATTAGTTGTGTAAAGCAGAATAAATAAGCAGGTTGAACTTGTGATATCACTTAAGCCTGTCAGAGAGTTCTTTTTTTAATTTTTATTTTCATTGATTTTTATTGAGCTCTACATTTTTCTTTGTTCCCCTCCCTGCCTCTCCCTTCCCCTTCAACCCTCCCCCAAGGTCTCCATGCTCCCAATTTAATAACGAGTTCTTATCTCTACTCCCCATGTAGATTAGATCTATGTATGTCTCTCTTAGGGTCCTTGTTGTCTAGGTTCTCTGGGATTGGATTTGTGTGCTGGTTTTCTCCATTGTGTAAATGTACTACATTTTCCTTATCCATTCTTCGGTCGAGGGGCATTTAGGTTGTTTTCAGGTTCTGGCTATGACAAAGCTGCTATGAACATAGCTGAGCACATGTCCTTGTGGTACGATTGAGCATCCTTTCGATATTTACCCAAAAGTGGTATTACTGGGTCTTGAGGAAGGTTGTTTCCTAATTTTCTGAGAAATCGCCACACTAACATCCAAAGGGCTGTCAGAGAGTTCTTTTTTTTTTTTTTTTAAGATTTATTTATTTATTTTGTTCACAGTGTTCTGTCTGCATGTGTGCCTGCAGGCCAGAAGAAGGCACCAGATCTCATTACAGATGGTTGTGAGCCACCATGTGGTTGCTGGGAATTGAACTCAGGACCTCTGGAAGAACAATCAGTGCTCTTAACCTCTGAGCCATCTCTGCAGCTGTCAGAGAGTTCTTAACCCAGTATCTGGGATCAAGAACTGTGTATGCTCAGGGAAGGGGTGGATTGTCTGATGACATTCACCAAAAAGCCCAGCAGAATAGGTTTATTTGTTGAAGGATTTTAGAGGGATTGGGGAGATGACTCAGCAGTAAGAGTGCTGGCTGCTTTTCTGGAGGTCTGGAGTTTGGTTCTTAGCATCCATACTGGGCAGCTCACAACTGCCTGTATCTTCAGCACCAGGGGATCCTATGCCCTTTTCTGGCCTCCTCAGACAGCTGCACACACGTAGCATACACATACAAATATACTTAAAAGAATTTTATTATGGGCTGGAGAGGTGGCTCAGAAGTTAAGAGCACCAGCTGCTCTTCTAGAGGACCAAAGTTCAGTTGTCGGCACCCACATGGTGGCTCATGTTACCTTTTGAAACCATAGTCACAGGGGCTCTAACTCTCTCTTTTGGCCTCTTCGGTCACCAGGCAATAAGTTACGTACCGACACACATCCAGACAAAACACCCAGACAAACACAATTTTAAAAATTTAAAAGGGGGCTGGAGAGATGGTTCAGTACTTAAAAGCACTGTCTGCTCTTCCAGAGGTCCTGAGTTCAATTCCCAGCAACCACATGGTGGCTCACAGCCATCTGTAATGAGATCTGGTGCCCTCTTCTGGCATGCAAGCATACATGGAAGGAATGTTGTATACATAATAAATTAATAAATCTTTAAAAAAAAAAAAAGCACTGGCTGTTCTTCCAGAGGACCCAAGTTCAAGTTCCAGCACTCATACTGAGTGTAATTTTAGTTCCAGGGGATCTGAGACCCTCATACAGACACACATGCAGGCAAAACACTAATGCACATAAAATAAAAAATCATTAAAAAAATTACAAGGTGTTACATATATCCACACATAGAGATCGTACTTTCCGGAGTATACTATGGTGCCATGGTGCACCCTCACGGCAGGATTTGTCTTCCTGGAGCATACGTCAGTATGAAAAATGAAAGACAGTCTCTAGAGCAGGAAGCAGACAGTCCCTTGGCCCTACCTCACCTCTGGTCCAGGGTGGAAACCCGTAAGTCAGCCAGGCTATGCCAGAATGCCTGAGGTTTTTTTCTTCCCCGAATGAGAACTTAAATAAACTCTGGGGCCCTGTCTGGCACTTGTGGAGAAACAGACGCTTCAATACACCCTGATGAACAACAACTCTCAGAGAAAGCGCCTGTGTTTTTTCTCCCTGAACCGGAGTCAACTATGACTAAAGTGTCCTCAGCAGAGGGCAGCCTCAGCGGTTGGGCAGCCTGATGGAGGACTTTCCTTCTTCCTCCAGGAAGTGTACTTTCTCTGTCGTGTCAGCTGGCAGGATGCCTGGCTCCACGCTCTGAGCCAAAGAGGCTCTCATGGGGACGGCCTCCTCTTGTCTGCCGTAACCTTTCCTAAGGTCCTGTACGCAGCCGAGGCCTTTTGGTAAAATTCCCTGTTTTTCTTAAAATGCCAGCCTCAGGCTGGGGGTGTATCTCAGCGGTAGAGCACCCCAAGCATGGGCGAGGTCCTGAGTCTCAAACTGAAAAAGAAACGCATGGAGACCCCCACCAACCTCAGGTCTAAGTGGGGTAGATGGAGGGAGGCCACTGGGTAGAGGCTGGTCAAAAACAAAGGTTAGAAATGGACACAAGCCTCTCACCCCTACGTATACCAGGATAAAGCTGGATTGCCATAAGGTGGAGGCCAGCCTGGGCTATGGAAATAAGTAAAGGGGGGTGGTCTGAGGAG